TTTTGTCTTTGCACTATAAGTAGAAAAATCAACACTGAATGCACAAAGGAAATTTCAATTTCCCTAAGTCTGTGTTAAGATTTACTTCTAATGAAAAATAGAAAATCTCTTTTTGTTGTTTGAAAAACATTACAGAAATATTACAATTAAATTTGAAATTACATTCCTGGGAACTAAAAATGTTACTGAAAATATGTTAGCCAACCATTGTAGAAGAATGAGCTAATGAGAAAATTAGTATAGAAATGGTGAAATTTTATGCTGCTCCAAAGTGTACAATATTTCCGAACAATGACTCAACAAATATTGAGAAAGCCTCTTAAGTAACTTGCCAGCAAAATGGAAAATTTCCAATTATGTTAAAAGGCAACAGGCTGATACTTGTTCCATCCTCAACTGTTGGCTTTCTCATCTAGCCTTCTTACTTCAAATCCTTTTGTTTGCTTCATAAGGATTTTTATTGTATTCAACATTTAACTTTTCTTTTAAAAGTAAATATGAATGAGAATAGATGCCTTAGCCTCTATATATACCTTTTGGTTTTAGGGGTTATAGAAATAGTTATACCTCTCTCTTGCAGTCGTAATATCACTGACCTTTTCAGCTGTCATCAAGACATTAATGAGATAATTGTTTGGCTTCAAAATACAACCTTCCTTTTTTTGGATGCGGAACAAAACATGACAAAATTATCTTTATCTCTTCCTTAGATTATCATGCTTTACAAAATGTATGGGACACAAAACAAATCTATGGCAGATAAGCGAGGTAATAGTTTATTCTCACTAGCACAAGAACAGCCTATTTTTAGAAGAAGTCAATATAAATTTATTGTGATAAAGGTTATAAAACTAAACTGTGCAGAAAGTTTTCATTACCCTGGGACATTGTCAAGTTTCAGGCCAGATTTTTTGAGAGTCTGAATTCATCATACGAAATTTTTAATAAAAATTAAAACAGCATGTTTAATAGTTATTCTGTAACACAAAATCAATTAATTTTTAATTTTGCTTTGAGGCTTATTTTGGATGAGGGAATTTTAGCAACTGAGAAAAGATGATGGATAAAAAAAATCAGAAAATGTTGAACAAATTGTGGGAATGTGTTTGATACATTATTGTATTATTTCAATATGATTTAGAAAACAGATGTTCATGTGTAATTGTGTAAGTTCCTGGGACGCTACATTAGATGATACTAAGTTAGAAAGAATAGAGAATTGTGAGGATGATACTGATTGACTTCAGAGGGACATTGACAAGTTAGCCAGCTGCTTGGCCTGCTGTGTTCATCCAGCTCTACACCTTGTTATCTCATAATACTCCAAATGAAGTCTGACCAATGATTTGTCGAGATGTAGCATCACTTCCTTACTTTTATACCCAATGCCTCTAGTTATAAACCCGAGGACCTATAAGCCGCCTTGACAACTGTTTCAACCTGCCTGGCTGACTTCAGAAAATCATTTATTTGAATTCTTAAGTGCCTCTGCACCTCTACGCCCCTCAAAGTTGTACCATTGAGTCTGTATTTTCTCTCTGTGTTTCGTCTACCAAAATGCTTTACCTTCCATTTCTCTGCACAGAATTTCATCTACCAAGCAACTGGCTAACTTGTCAATGTCCCTCTGAAGTCAATCAGTATCATCCTCACAATTCTCTATTCTTTCTAACTTAGTATCATCTGCAAATTTAGTGATTTTGCCCTAACACCCATCTCCAAACTGCCTTTTCTCTAATTTTCTTCAATTCATTCACAGATGTGTGCCAGTCATTGCTGAGGCCAGCATTTATTGCCTATCTCTAACTACCCCGTAGAATTTGGGAGTGAGCTGTCATTTTGAACCACTACAGTCCATGTGGTGTAGATGCACTAACAGCAACATTCTCACCCACCATGAAACCACATGAACTGTGGAGGTCCACACACACTGAAGACATTCAGAAGGAATATTGGTCTACAGTGCTGTTAAGAAGTTCTAGGATTTTGACCAAGCGACAGTGAAGGAATAGTGATTATTGTTCCAAATTAGAATTTGGAAGCTTGGAAGGGTCTAGCTGGTGACGATGTTCCCATAACCTGCTGCCTTTGGCCTACTCAATGATAGTGGTCATGTGTTTGGAAGGTGCTGTCTAAAGAGCCTTGGTGCGCTGTTGCACTGAAAATTATGTATGTACACCCTGCTGCCACTGTATATCAGTAGTGGTGGGAGTAAGGGTTAAAGGCATTAAATAGGGTATCAATCAAGGGAGCAACTTTGTCTTAGAAGATGCGTAGCTTCAGGCAGTTTGAGGTATTCTAACATACTTCTGATTTGTGTCTAGTAGATGGTGGATAAGCATTAAGGAATTTGGAAGCAAGTTATTCACTACAGAATCCGTACACTTTGATCTGGTCTTTATTGATCTGTTAATTACTGTATTGATATAGCTGCTCTTTTCCAGTATCTGGCCAATGGCGCAGGATATAGTTAGTGGGGGATTTAGCGATTGTAATGTCATTGAACGTCAAAGGGCCATGTTTGGATTCTCTTTTGTTGAGGATGGTTAGTGCCTGACACCCTTGCATGACACAAATGTTACTTGCCACTTATCAATCAAGCACTGAATGTTATCCAGGTCTTGTTGCATTTGGACACAGACTACTTCAATGTCTGACATGTTGTGAGTGGTGCTGAGCATTTTTCAATCATCAGCAAAGTTCCTTCCTTTGGACTTTATGATGGAGGGAAGATTATTGATGAAGATGTTTGGGCCCAGGGTACTACCCAGAGGAACTCCTGCAGGGAAATCCTGTAGCTGTGATGTTTGGCCTCCAGCGACCACAGCCACCTTCATTTCTGCTAAGCAAGACAGCAGAGAAGTTTCCCTGATTCCAATGGACTCCAGTTTTGCCTAGGTTCTTTGATGTCATACTTGGACAAATGTCACCTTGATGTCAAGAGCAGTCACCCTCACTTCTCTCTGAGTTCAGCTCTTTTGCCCATGTATATATAATGAGATTAGGAGCCGTGTAGGCCTGATTAATCCGAAGAGAGCATTAATGAGACAAGTATTAACAGGGTCTTTACACCATATTCAGTGGCTTCGGTCCTTCCTTGATGTCATGTGAACCAACTAAATTAGTTGAAGACTGGCATCTGTGATACTGTGAACCTCAGGAGGAAGCCAAGACAGATCAACCATTCAGCACTTCTGGCTGAAGATTATTACAAATACTTCAGCCTCATTTTATGTGATGTGCTGGCTGTCCCCATTGTACAGGATGGTAGTTCTTTGTTGAGACACAGGAAATCGCTACAAGGTATTTGATCTTGCAATTATTAAAAAAAGTCAATTTGTGTCATAGAAAGATATAGCACGGAGCTGTAAGTCTAATTTCCCTGCTCCTCTCCCGTAACCTTGCAATTTATTTTCATTACAACTGTGTTTCCTGTTTGGAATATACTATTGAATTTGTTTCTATCATTAATATTTTAGCATATTCCACCATAAAAATATTCTCATCTCCCTACAGGTTCTTTTCATCTTAAATCTGTATCCTCTTGTCACGGATCCTCCTGTTATTAGAAACTGTTCCCCCTCTCCACTCTGATTAAAACTGTTTAAGATAAAACTTCAACTTAATTCTACTCAACTTTCCTTGCTATAAGAATAATGCTAGTCTCCCCACAGCACCTCACCCAGGTATAATGTTAGTAAATCTCTCATAGTTTCTCAACAATGTCTGCATCTTATCTATTTCGTTGGCTTTTTAAAGATGATAACAAGTCCCAAGATACTTTATAGTAGTGTTATAAGCAAAGTTTGACACCGAGTGTGTAAGGCAATATTAGGACAAATGGCTAAAGCTTGGTCAAAGATATAGGTTTTAGTTCTTAAAGGAGGACAGTGAGATAGAAAATGCTGAAGCTCAGGGCTGAGATGGCTGAAAGCACAGCAGACAACAACGGACTAAGTAAAATCAGGGATTCTCGAGCAGTCCAGGTTTAATGAACACAGGTATCTTGGAACATTGTGGGGCAGAAAGAATGTTTCTTTTAATTCAGTCATGGAATGTAGGAATTGCTGGCTAGGTAACAATTAATACACATTTCCAGTTACCCTTGTCCTGGTGATGGTGACCTGCTTTCTTCAACCCCTGCAGTCTATGGGGTATGGATACACCCACAGTGCTACACACCTTGGCTCCCTGGATGTGTTTTGCCAATGACAGATCTTGGATTGGTTTTTCAACCAGAACCAGTTGAGAGTTCAGGAAAACCAAGTACATTAACAACTTCTTGACTGATTCCTGGGCGAGCAATTATAGCTTTGCATTTGGACAATACAGCAGAAACATCCAGTCTATGAAGCAGAAAATTTCTCTTTCAGTTGAGAAGTTAAAGAAAATCTTGAGCAGCTAAATACGCTCTTTTTCTCTCTCTGCTAAATCTTTTCTTGAAAGAGAAAAGGGAAAAAACACCTTCAGAGACAGTGAATGGGCAGATTTTCACGGGTGAGTGTAAAGCTGAGGATCAATGTATCCACAGCCTTAGTCCTCCTCAACTACTTGAAGGGAATGGGGTAGGGAGAAAATGTCTCATTATAGATTTCAATGTGGGCCAGTGCCAGACTATTTCATTGACTTTGCTTTTTGGTCCTCCCTCATCTGTAAAATATGTGCATTGTCTTGTCTCTTTGTATATCTGTTTGTATGGGGTATGGAGATTCTTTTTATTAAGAAATGGCAAAGTTTAAGTAATAGAGTTATAAAATAATTTGTGTCTCTTTCTTGTCACTAGTTAAAACTGGTTGATTGTAATGATCAGATGTTTTCTTGTTACATACAGAAACTGGTGAGTGTTTCCTTTTAACCTGGAAGCATCAGTCAGGTAAACTGGGGATTCTGGATACTTTGATTAAATCTTTTCATATTTGAGATGACTCCAAGAATAATGGGTCTTGATTTCCAGTGCACTAACTCTAAGTTGTAACAGTTGAAATAAAAAAAACACAACATAAAGGATATCACAGCATTTAATAGTGCAAATTACCATTTTAAGAATATGTAAAGTTTCACATCATATTCTTACATAAAGAATGGCCAACAATTTGTCAAAGTAATAACGCCTAAGGGATACAATAGCAGAGGGCATTGTTTTACATATAGGCAAACAGAGCAGCAGATACAGCTACTACAAGGTACTGATTTCTCCTTTAGTGATGCTGTAGCCTCTGCCCTAGCATGCACATGTTTGTTAACTGTTCGACATCTTAAATTCCCATATATACACAGTGTTTTACTTAGATTCAAAAGTATCCGCGTCCAAATCCACATTGAAATAGCATTGCTCAATTTGACTGTGATCTGAAATTTAACCATTTGAAATTCCGTGCAGCCAATATGGCACAGAAAGGAGGAGATTGTTACGTTGCTTGACACTGAGAAAAACATGCCCTTTTACAAACACCTTCATCTTATGTCCTTTAGGGAAGGAAACTGCCATCCTTACTTGGTCTGGCTTACATGTAACTCCAGACCCACAATAATGTGGTTGACTCTTAACTGCCCTCTGGGCAATTAGGGACGGGCAATAAATACTGCCAAGCCAGTGATGCCATCATCCTGTTAATGAATAAAGAAAAAAATCTTTCTTGCAGTCACTTTAGGTAGTTTATCTTTAAATCCTATTAAAAAGTGAGTTCATCCATTCGATGGCTCACTTAGCTATGCTGTATGACAGAGTAAATAATTTACATAAACTATAATAGAAAAAAACAACTGAAAATGTAATGGGCAATTTCTGACTTGCATGTGTTAATTACTTTACATTTTCTAACACTGTTTACATGAGAGAATGTCATTGACATGATACAATAAAAAAATTAAGGTGTTTCTGCTTACCATAATCTACTGACCATGAATTTAGGGAGTGCAAAATATCTAGAATTTACTAGTGAAGACAACTCTTCTACAATTTTCAGAATTTGTTCAATATTTTAACACATATCAGTAACAAATTTTGTGAATCACCAATATTTATTTATCGGAATGGAGTTCTGTCACCAAGGAAGCAGATTCGTGGCTGGGGGAAAAATTTGGAAACTCCCCCATAATCTACTAAATGACACAAATAAATCATTGAGTAATGACTGTTGAGGGTTTGTGCTGATAAGCTACTAGAAGGGGTGAGTCAGGAAGAGGAACCACGACCAACGATAGAAGGGGCAATGCACTCAATGGTCAAGTGATTTGGTCATGGAATTAACCAGGGATTTCCCCCATGAAAACAATGATCTCAATTCTAGGTGGGACTTAAAGCCTTGTCAGGGCAAAATGCATCCTTCTTGCTGTTCTTTAATTAAAGTAGGTTTGTAGAAATCTTGAATAGTGCAGAACAGAATTACAGAAGTTTTAGAAATTATATATACATATTCATTAAGACAATAATTGTATGTTAAACTTGGATGCAACAATTTTCATAATTGACATATTATTAGTTTACATTGACTATGGCTCACTCACCCTGGAAATCTATCATAATCTTTTAGAAAGCTAAAGAACACTCAAGGCCAAAGGACTCATTAAAGTTAGAAATAGTTAATACATCACATAATTCTTTAAAAATTACACAACAGAAGCTCACGAAAATTACCATTTAAAGTTACAGGTTATTGCATTGAAACTTTTCTCATTATTAAAGTAAGGGTTTAGGAAATAAGACATTCTCAAAAATATAACTTTAGAAGTCACTGATTTCTTGGCAACCATCAGTGTGGATGGCTTTCTTGTTAAAGGAAATCTCCATTCTATATTGCAGAGTTAACGCATTAATAGAAAGTGTAAAAAATCAAAATAAACCGACTTGGAATTAAGTGAGTTATACAACAAAAATATGTGCATATTTTGTAAAATTCTTAAACTACCCATTTTTTTTTTTAAAAAAAAGCAAAAATAGAACAAACTAGGTAATCAAAATGAATCATCATTTTAAGAAACAATTTGGAATAAATCCCGTTGCCAGTAACTTATCAAACTCAGTAGAAAGGAAAATATAATTGTACTGAGGATTCTAACAACAAATACGACATTAATTGAGGTTTCTGAATTGGAACTTTCACAGTGAAAATATATTCTGACAAACTAAATCTACACAAGAATAATGTTAATGAACACCTTGCTCTGAAGTTAGTGCATACCAAAGATCCAAATTCACAATGAAGAGCAAGATGGTAAAGCTGAACAAATTGGACAACTTCATTGCTTTTTTAAAAACCGAAAGAACTGCAGATGCTGTAAATCAGGAACAAAAACAGAAATTGCTAGAAAAGCTCAACAGATCTGGCAGCACCTGTGAAGAAAAAAATCAGAGTTAATGTTTCGGGTCTGGTGACCTTTCCTCAGAACTGAGAAAGGGTCATCGGACCCGAAACATTAACTCTGATTTTTTCTTCACAGATGCTGCCAGACCTGCCGAGCTTTTCCAGCAACTTCTATTTTCATTGTCATTGCTCTCTGTGTCATTCTTGGTATGTCAGTATCACTAGCAGGACTGGTGCATTTATTGTGCCTTCCTACATGCCCTTGACAATATAGCAGACTTTCTTCTTGAACTGCTGCAGTTTGTGAGAAAGATTCCCACAGCACAGTGCTGTTAAATAGGGTGCCCAGGATTTTGAACTAGTGATGATGATTGTTGTGTGTCTTGGAGGGAAACATGAAATAATTTTTTTTTTAAACTTTTAGGAATGCTTTTGAATAGAAAAGCAAAGGGTGAAATAGAAAAAAACAAAGGATGAAAACAGGTCAGGCACGAACAAAGTTGTTTCTCATTACAATTGTTTAAAAGTGGACATTCAGTCCCAGTACAGTAATAGACATGTTTTGGTAACTACACAACATTAGGAAGGGATTACTGGTGTTAAGAGTGCATGACTGTGTTTGAAAAAATGGCTAGTTCAGAGAGAATTTAATTTGCTTGGAACTACTGGCTTTGTGAGGGAATTAAGCAAAGGAGTTTTCTTTATAATGCTATCTCTGATTAAAGTACCAGTTCATCATTTCTCACTGCACAAATATGGAGAACCTTTGGCCAGATCTGAACCTCCTTCAAGTGATCAGGACATGGTATGGATAATACAGGAAATTCCAACCTCTTAAATGAAACAGACAGAAGCGTTGAAATAAATCTTAAGAAGTTTATAAATGCTTCTTGACAGTAAGTTTCCTTCTTTCCAGAACAGAATCAATTGAAAATAAATCATATGCACTCGTGAAATGTGAAAGTGAAAACATTGAAAGTGGTCATTACATGGTTTAAGCTCTGTCAGAATAGGTCAAACTAAAGTTGCCTTTCAAGAATTCAATATAAGCATTTTGAAATTTGAATTAAAGACCTATTTTTCTTTCATTCGCTTGTAAAGCAGGAAAAGATTTTCCAAATAAACCTGACAATTATACGGTTTCTCCAGTCATGGCTGGATGCAAAAGTCTCATTTCAAAAAGTCGTGATTATTTTACTGCTCACTGGAACAAGGCAGGAAGAAAAGGAGCAATTTGACACTTGGAGATTTCCTTTAAATATGGCAATGCTGCTGCAGTGTTTCTGATTGATAATTATTTTGAAATTAAAGTCTTGAACTAGATGTATATTATTGCCATTTATTACAACATCATTTGACATTCTATTCACAGGCACAACTGTCCCAATGCATGACTCACAGAATAACACTTCATAAAATAAACATGAACAACCAACGTGTAAACAGTTAAGTCAATAATTAATGTAGGAAGATAACTGGTTCAGTTGCTAGTCAGAATCTAAAACTGTAAGTGGTAGTTGGAAGTCCATGCTCACTGTTATTCCACAGGTTTATCGAGTGCTGTTTCAACTCTGGGTAAAAAGAAAAGTAATTGTAGCAAACTTGAGGAAGAAAGTTAAAGAAAAAAACAAAGGGAATCCACAAAATCATTACGATTATTGTTTTCAAACTTGGGCCGAAGGGTCAGAGAAAACAAGTTTAACAATTATTATGCTGACTGTGATAAGTAAAATGCTAAGAATGGTATCAAGTTCAAATGTCACTTTTGATTTTATTATCACGGTACAGCAGTTTGAGTTTTATTAAATACATGCAATTATCCTTGTTTTCTTAAGAAGATATTTGAGGAATAATTAAGACTCCTGGCTGGGATATTATTTCATGGATGTATATTGCACTTTTGTACCTCAACCAAGAGACCATTATCCATAAGTGAGCCTGGCCAATGAGAGACAGCAGGTCTTTGATGATAAACAATATTATAACTAAGTTTGAATCTCTCCTTGGTTTTGCTAATGCATACTTTCATGTGATTATCAATGTAGGTTTACCTTCATTTCCTAAACAAGGACGCAGATTTTTGTGGAGCCTGTGGGAATGGGCAAGATAGTGGGTGAGTTTGGAGAATCATGTGGGAAGCCATATGTTACCCCAGGAGCAGAGAAATGTCTCACAACTGCCAAAATGCAAGTGGGAAGGCAGTAAAGCAGGAAACTCAGGAGGAAATTCATAAATATTCAAAATCAAATGCTTGCATACAATTCAAAGTCATTTACTAGGATTCATCGTAGCCTCTCTGCTTAAACATAACTTACGTGAATCTGCCATGCCCTAAATAACCCACCCATTGAACACTGGTGACTACATGTGGGCTATCTGACTCATTGGGAGTGATCTGTTGACTTGCAGGAAAGTGAGTCACATGGTGTTGCACTATCTTTCGATGTTCCTTCGCTATGCTCTGACACAGAGGGTGGAATCTGAGGAAGTAACAAAGCCTAAAGTTGGTTCTGAAAAAAGGACATTATATAGCACCTCACAGAAGTGTTACATTGCAGATAGCCATTTCACCAATTATGTCTTCAATGGCTCTCCAAATAAGCACCATAAGTTCATGCCATTCTCCTACCATTTTCCATAACCTTGCACTTGTTTCTATCTCAGTTACAATATAATACCCTCTTGAATGCCTTAATTGAATCTGCCACCAACTCATTTCCAGGCAGTACATTTCAGACCCAAACCATTTGTTGTGTGAAAAAGTTTTTCCTCCCATTTTATTTGCTTCTTTTGCATGTCACTTTAAAGCTATGTTCTTTGGTCCTTGATCCTTTTACAAGAAGGAACAGTTTCTCTCTATCTACGGTATCCAGCCCTTTCACGATTCTGAAAACCTCCATTAGATTTTCACTTAGCCTTCTTCTCTCCAAGGAACACAGTCCTAACCTCTTCAATCTTTACTCATAACTGTAGTTCCGCCTCTCTGGAACCATTCTTGAAAATCTCTTCTGCACTCTCCTCAATGTGTTTTATAATTCCTATAATGAAGTGCCCAGAACTGTACACAATATTCCCACTGAGCAAATCACCATCCAGACTATGTGAAACTGCATCCATCATAATCAGTTTCTTGAGAAGAGGAGTGAAATAGTTGGGGGAAATAATTCTAACCTGATTTAAGAAGTCCAGAATTCTGTGCTAATTCCGGTTTAAACAAAAAATGGATGTGACAATGCAAACATAGCTGAGCACAGTTCCAGTGAAAATGGTGACCTGAAACATTAATCATGCTTTTGTCTCTCTACGAAGACCATCTGTATTACCTGAGTATTCACAACATTTTCCATTTTATTTCACATTTCCAGCATGTTCTTGTACATCTGTTTTTTTTCTTCACTAATGGCTTTATCCTTTAATTTTTCTGCTACCATGATTTGTTACTTGCACAATGATATATTCTAAATGATAACAATATTGGTAAACATATATAATCTATGCTGCATAATTATTTGATTTTTGTGTTATTTCATTTAAAAAGTTGTTCATTCTTAATGTGAAATCTATTTATTTAGGGGCAAACACAAAAGGGTATTGTACCCTAAACAGTTTTTGTTGTTGATTTCAAATTACTAATGACAATACAATCCATCGTAATAGCTAGACTCAGAGTAACTTTTGAATTTTTGAACAGATTCATTTTACATTTGTTTGACTCAGTGTTCATCAACATTTGCACCTATCCACCACCAAAAGGGAGACTCGATGAATTACGACTGCATATAGCAATGATGAGACTATTGCTACTGCAATGTGAACTATTTTGAATGATTTGGTATGAACATATTGCATTGCTGTTTCTCAACAAAGGAGTGAAGAAATCACTTTGTTTTCTGAGCAAAGGGTTATCATTGATTAAAGAGTATTTATTAAAGTTCCACATCAAAGTTTATTGCAAAAACAAAAGCTCATGGTGGACGGTTATATAGGTCTGGTTGACTAGATGTAATGACTGTTGTGCCACAGAGATCAATTTGGGACCTCAAGGTTTTACAATTCATTATGATTTTGATGAAAGGACAGGAGATTTTGTTGCTAAATTTGTTGATGGCATTAAGATAAATAGAAAAGTAGGTTGTGAAGAGGACATAAGGAGGCTACAAAAGGGTACATATAGTGAATAGACAAAGATCTACAAATGCAGTATAATGTGGGGAAATGTGAAATTGTCCATTATGGCAGGAAGAATATTAAAATACATCATTTAAATGGTGAGAGATTACAAAGCGTTAAGATGCTGAGGGGTCTGGTGTCCTATAGTGAGAGGAACAAACACAACGATAAGTAGGTCTTGTTTCAGTTATGCACATTGTGGGGGAGACCACATTTAGAATACTTTACACAGTGTTAGTCTCTTTACTTAAGAAAGGATGTAAATGCATTGGAAACTGTTCAGACAAGATTCACTAGACTAATATCAGGAAGTGTGGGTTGTCTTATGAGGAAAGGTTGGACAGGCTACACTTGTATCCATTGGAGTTTAGAAGAGTAAGAGTTAACCAGATTATACACACAAGATTAAAAACTGAAAGAACTGTGGCTGCTGTAAATCAAAACAAAAACAGAAGTTGCTGGAAAAGCTCAGCAGGTCTGGCAGCATCTGTGAAGAAAAAAAATCAGTTAACATTTCGGGTCCGATGACCTTTCCTCAGAACTGACGATAGCTGGGAAAACGTCGGTTTATATGCAGAAAATAGAGAGGGGGAATAGGGTAGGGACTAAACGATAGAGCCTGAAGAGAGAAGAGCAGTTGGATAGACAAAGAAATTGATAACAATCTAGCTAGGAGGGTGAATAGCTGTTAATGAGAACTGTTAGTGGTTAACAATAGGTATTGTGTAATGGCAGGCTGTGATAACAAGGCCTGGTGTGTGGGGTAGGGGGCTAGGACATGGGAGAGTTTAGATCCTAAAATTTATTGAACTTAATGTTGAATCCGGAGGGCTGCAGGGTCCCCAAGTGAAAAACGAGGTGTTGTTCTTCCAACTTGTGCTAAGCTTTGCTGGAACACTGCAGCAAGCCAGAGACAGAGATGTTGGCCAGGGAACAAGGTGGTGTGTTAAAGTGGCAGGCAATGGGTAGCTCAAGGTTTTTTTTGTGAGCAGAATGTAGATGTTCTGCAAAGCTGTCACCCAGTCTACACTTCGTTTCTCCAACATAGAGGAGACCACACTGTGAGCAGCGAATGCAGTAGACTAGATTGTGTGAAGTGCAGGTGAAGTGTTGTTTCACCTGGAAGGTATGTTTGAGCCCTTGGATGATGGGGAGGGCAGGAGGTAAATGGGCAGGTGTTGCACCTTCGCTGGTTGCAGGGGAAGGTGCTGTGGGACAGTGAGAGGGTATTGAGGATGAAGGAAGAGAGGACCAAGGTGTCCTGGAGGGAACGGTCCCTGCAGAAGGTGGACAAGGAAGGGGAGGGGAATATGTGTCTGGTGGTGGCGGAAATGGTGTCCCTGATGACCTTCTGCACGTGGATGCTGGCGGGATGGTGGGTGAGGATAAGGGGAACCCTATCACTGTTGCGGGAGGGAAGAAAAGGGTGAGGGCGGAAGTGTGGGAGATGGGTTGGACCTGGTTGAGGGCCCAGTCAACAACAGTGCTGGGGAATCCTCGGTTGAGGAAGAAGGTGGATAGTTCGAAGGCTCCCTTGTCGAAGTTGGCCTCATCTGAATGTATGTGACGGAGATGGAGGAACTGAAAGAACGGGATGGAGTCTTTACAGGAAGTAGGGTGTGAGGATGTATAGTCCAGGTGGTTGTGGGAGTCAGTGGGTTTTATAGTGGATATTAGTGGCCAGTCAATCCCCAGAAATGGAAATAGAGATGTCGAGGAAGGGAAGGGAGGAGTCAGATGTAGACGTGGTGAAAGTGAGGGCAGGGTGGCAATTGGAAGTGAAATCGATGAACAATTCCAATTCCAGATGAGAGAGGGAAGCAGCACCGATGGTATCATCGATATATCGGAGAAAGAGTTGTAGGTGGGGGCTGGAGCAGGACCGGAACAAGGAATGTTCCACGTACTCCACAAAGAGACAGACATAACTGGGAACCATGCTGCCAGACCTACGGAGCTTTTCCAGCAACTTCTGTTTTTGCACACACAAGATTATGGTCTCAACAGGATGTAAATGGAATGGATGGTTCTTCTTGTGGGAGAATCCCAAAAGATGTCATGTTTAAACATAAAGGATGCTCAATTTAAGACAGCGGAAAATACATAGATTCTTGTTGAGAATCTAGATATTCTTAATAATAACATTATTAAGTTAATAATGTAACTTTATATTAATTACATAATAAGGTTTAGGAACGTGGAGTGATCAGATTGGAAACAATCTTACCAGATGGCACAGCAGGCTTGAGGGGCTAAGTGGCCTAGTCTTACACCTAATATGTACGTTTGCCTGTATATATACTCATAAGCTTGCATGTTTGTTTGGAAAAATTAAGTGAAGTAATTCAAGCCAGAAATCGTCCAATACATTTATGCCAATAAACCTATAAACGTAATACAATGGATGACTATGCACTACAACACAACACAGAATTGATCAAAACGCAAGGCAGAACTGCATAGCCATAGAGAATAGTCAGAAGATTTATATCGATCATAATGTTATCCTTACTGCTGTTCCCCTGAAGGTGTTTTGGATTCACTTGACAGTCTGCTAACTCTATGGAAACAAAAATCACAAGAAAGGGAGCAATAAACAAGATTAATTTCTGACACTATAAGGAACAATTCTGAAACAGAGGATACAATGTTTTTGACAGAATCAAGCTACATGACTTAAGCTGTACTGTGCATATTGTCACGTCAACCAAATAAATCAAAAACGAATAAAATATGTTTTTATTTTCTTCAAAGGAGAGGGAAGATTTTGTGCTTATCAGAGCAAAAATTAATTCTTTCCTTTTTTTATAACTACTCCATAGGTGAGGATTCCATACGCCAAAGCCTATAACTTCAAAGTAAACTGTGAAGAATTCTACAGTGATGGAAATTCTGCTTCCCCAGTATATTTGTAGAGTTATCTTTTCTGATTTAGGACTGTGTAGTGAAATGAATTCATTCACTGAGGGGGAGGTCCAGGATCAAGCTGTAAGGTGAATCTGGGGGCAGGAAAGGCGTAACAGTTGTGTGAAACGAGGGCGTCAGTCCACACCAAATATTTACTGAGTATCCTGGAGAAGGACTCAGTCCCACAGCAGGTAAAATTCTGTCAAAGCCCATCAGAAAAAACTGGATTAGACCATTAGTGAAAGACAAATGTAGCTGCTACTGACTGGAATGACTAAGACATAAAGGTAACTGGTACCTTCCAGGCTACCATGTACAGGTAGCTTGTAAATGCATTAAAGGCATCTATATATTGTATAGCTGGTGAGGAAAACTCCTGGATCACTGAATGGTCCTGGATCTTGCTCCGAGAGGATCAGTTTTTTTTGTTATAAAGTCCCAAATCAGAAAAGATAACTGGACAAATAAATGCAATAACATTTGTTGGTATGTGGGACTTGGAAATCACTGAAAAATAAAAACAAATGACCAAACTTCTCTCGGTTACTTCTCCTGCTGATTTGATGGCTGCTACACAAGGCAATGCAGACAAGCCTGAATGGCTCCAGGACACAAATCAACAATTAAGATAGATGCATATGAATTATATGGACCCAGCAAGTCTCTAACATGCTCACTTCCCATTTTAATGGAAATGTTTGCAGGTGAGTGATAAGTGGATTGCATGATCATTTAAATATTATAAGGATGCCTGCCCTTAATTTCTATGATCATTCCATTTATGACTCATGTTTCTAAGGCTTTGGGAAATCTGGCAAGCAGAAAGAAGCATTCATGTATAAGCACCTTCTGAACACTGCTAGGCTAGCAGGAGAAGGCTTGTTCCTTCTGGCTCAACAAGTTATCCATCAAATGTTGCCCAGCAGTGATCTGCTCAACTGGATTACACAATCTCCGGGACTTCTCAGGTCAGTTTAATTATTAATGCTATGACATAGGCAAAACGTCTTGTCAGGGTTCTGTCACGTGTATTTTTGTTCTATCTTATGTTTTTAGTTAAAATTAGGCTTGTTCATCAAGGACTCTGCATTGTATGCCATTGTATACGTTCTCAAAGACAAAACAGCTGCCATAAAACCAGTAAGCTTGATTATGTTAATATTTGTTCATTAAAAAGTCATTTATTTTGCTATATCCAAAGACACTTCCTGATCGCTGCTTGTTTTATTCTGCAAATGGTTTTCTCTTCCATTAAATGGACAGTTCCTAGGCCTGCAAACATTCTGTCTTCTGTTGAATTATAATTGTCTTTTTTATTTGATCTTGAAATATTGAAAATAATTCTTATCGTTAGTACTGACGTCAGTTCTGAGGAAGGGTCACCGGACCCGAAATGTTAACTCTGATTATTTTCTTCACAGATGCTGCCAGACCTGCTGAGCTTTTCCAGCAACTTCTGCTTTTGTTTCTGATTTACAGCATCCACAGTTCTTTTGGTTTTTATTTAAATGGCTTTCTTGGTCACTTCAGAGGGCAGTTAAGAGTCACCTAATTTGATGGTGACTGAAGTCACACATGGCCACACGTGGAAAGGTCAAGAGGCTTCCTTTTCTAAAGGATATTAGCGAACTGACTAGTTTTTAAATTTTTACAATAAGCGGATAGCAGCAGGATGACCATGAAGCTATCAGTTTTATGTTGCAGATTTTTAAAACTCAACTCAATTCTCAGACAAACATGTTGGGATCTGAGCTTATTAGTGAGGATCAAATTAATTAAAATAAACACCACATGTTTCTCAATTGATTTGAACCTGGATAATATTCATACGTGAAGGGAAGTATGTCTTGAATGATCTTGATAATTCTTTAAAGGTGATTGAGGAACTGACTTGGGAATCGGATTGGATTAAACTCCATGGGCTGCAATACGTGCTGAGATTGGGCTCCTTGCATCCAGTATAAATCTAAGGGGTGAGCTCGTTTTTGCTCGGCTTTCGGCCAACATGCCTTTAGTTATTACGGTGGGAGAGGTAGTAAACTGTAGGGTGGTCCTCCAATTACCACCAGGGGCCTGGAAGGAAACACTCTGCCCTTGCGCTGACCAGCAGTCCACAGGGATAACCTGCAGGGCTACGTGAGGTGCAAGCCTCTCTCAGTTGAGAATGAAAGCCTCAAATGAGCATTAGTTGCCCACTTAAGGGTCTCAAGTACCCCAAAAGTGGGTTACTCACCCATTGCCTCAGCTGCCACTCATAAATGATGTTGGGGCAGAGATGGGCAAGCCAGCATTGTGCTGGACATTCCATTCTACAGATCCACCTACCTGCTTTCTGGCATATGGGTGGCTCATAGAATCCAGCCCATGCACCAATTCTGTTATGATTGCTGAGCCCGAGGGTTGTACTGTTTGCTCATATTTGAACAGTAGAAATGTGGGTAAAATTCTGTACACAATCCACAATGGGCCGTATTGTCTATTGTTGATATTTATTTGTTATTTTGAAGAATTAGTTTTGTAGTTTATAGCCTACACTGCAATCTGAAATCCCTTTCCAATGTCTGTGCCAAATCCAGTAAGTGAAATACAATTACAAGAATTTCAATTTGACTTCTGGGCAATTTTGTATTTCAATTTCTCATTGTGGAAATAACTCAATTCTGAAGTTACTGGGGGTGCAGGTTGCTTCCAGAATTAATGGTTAATGTAGTAGCTGGTAAGGAAATTAAATCCATAATGTTAAAAAAAAGGTCAAATAACACTGAACTTTGACTTACTTTGCTGCTTCTGATGCTTCTTTTAGTTCTTCATCCAACCTGCAGAAGATAATCATGATTAATATTGATAATTATAAAGGAAACAACAAGACAATTGCAAAACAAAATAATGTAACTGTTAACATGCTGCTAAGCCTGATGCAGGTCTCAAGATGCAGAGATTAAGTATTTTGCACTGTGATTAGTATTTCCCACTCAGAATGCTGTCAAGAGCTATCACCTTTCATTGTTTAACAATATTTGCTATCTCAAACCTTCACAACAGATCTATGACAATGAGACGGTTTTAAAAAAAGAAAATCACATGCTTATTATTGAAAGCTGAAAATGCAGCCGCCTACTCAGATATTGTTAACATTCAGCATTTAGTAACCTGGCAAAGCAAATGAGATTCATTCTGGATTGAAGAAAGATAATTGGTTATTTGAATGATGCAAAAAGTTGATCTGTATAATCCTGGCTTGATAAAGGAAAAAAGGTAAACAACACACATCTAACCTGATAATTATGGACATGACTGACCCAAATCATTCTCTTCTAACATCTCTCTGTTCTCATTCAGCTGTGCGGGACTGCTGCTACCTCTTACCTCTAATTTCATTTAGAGTGACAGAATTTCCTGAGTCCCACTGTCATCTTTCAAATCCCCCAAAAATTTGTCTTTGGCTTTTCTGCTGTTTACCAACCACATGCTAGTCCTTGGTGACAGCATCCAAAACACAAGGTCAGGTTTCACACATACACTGACAATAGTCAGTTCTCCTTCCACACCAGCTCACTCAACCACTCCACAGCAGTGCTGTCACCCTGCTCATCCAACTTCCAGTCTTGAAAGAGCTGAACTTTCCTACAATTAAGCAAGAGAAGACCAAAACCACCATCTTTGTGCCCTCTCAATTAACTCCATTTCCCAACTACTGACGTTATTTCTCTCCCTAGTCACTATTTCCAGTTCAGTCAGACTGTTCACAATCTGAGCATTCTCTTTGGCATTTAGATAAACCTCCAGCATCCAATAACAAAGACTAAATACTTCCAATTCCATAATACCTGTCTCTACCAGCTGCTGACACCCTGACGGAAGCTCTTGTTACCTCCGTACTCAACTATTCCAATGCTCACCTGGCCAGCTTTTCATTGTCCACACACTATGAAATTTTATGCATCCAACACTCCGCTGCCTGAATTGTAACTCACACCAGGTTCCATTCAGTGATCACTCCTATGTTTGCTGAAAGGGTTCCCTGTACATCAATCAACAATTTTAAAATTCTCATCCTTGTCCAAATCCCTCCAAAGCCTCACCTCTGCCAACCTCAGTAACTGCCTTCAGCAATTAGATCTCTGCAGTGATATTTTTCCACTAATGCACCATTATTTATGGTGTCTCTCAGCGATTTATCCTTGGCTTCCCCTAGTTCCCAAACACATATGACTACCTGACATTACCTGAAGACATAAGATCAGGTTCCATTTGTACACTAATTCTGGTCTCACATGCATCCATCATCTCTTTCATTCCCATCACTACTGTCCCTTAGATCTTGAGGTGTGGACTTTTGCCTCCAAACCTGTCTGCCTCTCTACTCCTTTCAAGAAACCAATTAAAACCTACTTCGTTGATCAAGTGTTTGGCCACCTGACCTAATATCTCTTTTGGTTCAGTATAATGACTTCTCTTCTCCCAATCCTCTGAAAAGTCTTGGAAAGATTTAGTACAGTGTACATTAAAAGGCGCAAACTACTGACACCTGCCAATGCTGATGTAGCCATGTACCAGTGTTACTCACACTTTTAATTAGAGTAAATGTAAGGTAAAAAGAGAAAGATAGATCAGCACATTCAAGCAAATATAGTTATCACCCAACAGCAAACAGTTAGCTTTCTGCAATGGAGGGCAGTGCTGTAGCCTGTAACGTGACTTGAAATATCATAATTTACCTCATCCTTCTTTTTATACACTTTTCTTCTTCATACCTTATAGGAAATAAGTCATTAAACCAAAGTTAGGAAATTTTAAAAAATCCGGTCACAATAGTTAAGCAGGCAGAAGAAATCACCTTTGTGTCTTCAGTGGGAATGAATGATAGCACATGAAGAATCAATAAGAGGTGTTAGTTTGGACACTGATAAGAATATCCCTAAAGTGAACATTGCAGATCATCAAATTAGAGTAGATGACAACTGGTCCAACAAATTGAAATATGATTTGTAATTGTGCTATACAGTGAACTAAAATTGTTTAGAATTTCTGAAGTATTTAGACATACATCTTAAAGGTGAAAATTCAAACTTGCAATCACAAATGTTCACTTTAGAATAAACAGATACAGGATATGGAAGAGATTTTAAAAATTTGATATTTAATCAAGGGTCTGTTCGGGCTGAATGGGAAGAAGCTCACTTGTAAGGTGATTACCAACAGTGCCCACAATGTTGAAATGAGATCAAATTACCTTTTTTTTTAAAAAAGAAACTATTTTGAGAATAACGTGTGCAGATTAAAGCTTACTTACTATAGTGTGCTTGCAGGACAATAGGAAAATTGCAGGCGGAAATCAGAAATCTATCCTTTTAAAGTTAACTAAGCAGTTCTAAATGAATTATTTCAATCAAACTAAAAAAAAGACAGTTGGCTGATATACATTCTGCCTTCACAGAAGGCTTACTAAAAAAAACTTGCACCTTGTTGAATCATTTCAAGAAGAAAGCAACACAAAAAAAACAAGGATTAAGCAGGGTTATCTGTAAATTGCTAATTGAAAATTACAAGAGGCTACAAGAAAAAAAAACACCTTCAAAAAATAATTACTGCAAATAGGCAATTTAATAGAATAGAATGGTAATTTACTAGATGAAATAAGATCCCGTAATATGCAAAACTGTACTACTCAGAGATCTTTTCTAGTTCTGACAGCACTCTATTAGACATACAATCTGTGAACTAAGCAAATCTCTATTTTACTTCCTTACCAATGCACAATTCCTAAGGTACAGCAATAAAAGTTACGTACTAACAAGGTATTTAGGAAGACTTTAAGAAGTTTACACTTAACATATCATTAGATAATTTTATATTTATGATACAGGAAATTTTGAGAAATGACTGAATATTTAGAGCTCCTCCCTCTTACTGATGAGATCATCCCGATGCTAACAGAATAGTGTCACTATTGGAACTCTGGAGAGGGTGGGAGCATGAGATGGGACATAGAATCTCTGCAGTGTGGAAGCAGGCCATTCGGCCCATTGAGTCCATATCGAACCTCCGAAGAGCATCACGCTCAGTCCCCTACCTATCCCTGTAACCATGCATTTCCCATGGCTAATCCATTTAGCATGCACATCCCTGGCCACTATGGGCAATTTAGCATGGCTGCTTTGCCTAAACTGCACATCATGGGACAGCGGGAGGAAATTAGAGCACATAGAGGAAACACACGCAGACACAGGGAAAACATCTGTGTGGAGTTTGCATAGTCACCCGAGGCCAGAATCGAACCTGAGTCCCTGCTGCTGGGGGCAGCGGTGCTAACCACTGAGCCACCGTGCTGTCCTTATTCATATTCGTACAATAATTTGTAATGAAATGACAAATTTATTATAGAATTTACGGTTTTTCCGAATGTTACTAGTCTTGTGGGAAAGTTAGTGTGTACAATCTGGTCTCATGGAATTAGTGCTACCATATGTGATTCAGTCATCATGTAAATTTTAAGACTGCATGAATTTCAAATGGATATGGTCAATGATTTGACCTATTGTGCTTTTGCTAGTTTCAGGTTCTTTGACTGGAGCGTGTTCCCCGATTGCATTCTTATTCGGGAATGGTTACAGTAGGATGAGAAATCAAACAGTTTCTGTCACACACAAATCTGTCATGATCTTGCAGGAATTTAACAAAAGTATGTGTTCACCCAACAACTGATGTATGGAGATTAAGTTTAAAACTCAAAAAACTCTTGTAAACAGCCTCTCAGGTGTTCTAAACAAAAAAAAAATAAAAGAAATGGAAATGCTGGAAATCAGAAACAAAAACGGAAATTGCTGGAAAATTTCAGCAGGTCTGGCAGCATCTGTGGAGAGAAAGCAGAGCTACCTCTTTGGGTCCAGTTCTGAAGAAGGGTCACTGGACCCGAAATGTTAACCCTGCTTTCTCTTCACAGATGCTGCCAGATCTCCAGAGATTTTCCAGCAATTTCTGCTTTTGTCTCAAAATGTTCTAAATTTTTACATTAAAAGCAAACTGTGTTCTCAGTTTTATCAATAGGGGCACAGAGTACATGAGTAGGGAAGTGCTGTTGAATTTGTACAAGACAGTATTTAAATGATTTACAAGAATGACTCCAGAAATGAAAAATTTCAGCTATGAGGATAGATTGAAGAAACTGGGACTATTCTTCTTAGAGAGAAGAAGGCTAAGAGGAGACTTGATAAAGCTCTCAGCATCATGGCAGGGTTGGACAGAGGACATAGGGAGAGCTGTTCCTGGTTGTAAACAAAGAAATAAAGAACAAGGTAGTATAGATTTAAAGTGACTTGCAAAAGAAGCAAGGGTGATGTGAGAAAAAAAGCTTTTCACACTGAGTAGTTAGGGTGTGGAATGCATTGCTTGGAAATGTGATGGAGGTGGGTTCAATTGAAGCATTCACAACAGATTCTGATGAAGGGTCTAGGCCCGAAACGTCAGCCTCTCTGCTCCTCTGATGCTGCTTGGCCTGCTGTGTTCATCCAGCTCTACACCTTGTTGTCTCAGATTCTCCAGCATCTGCAGTTCCTACTATCTCAGTATCAGATGATTATTTGGATTAAATGGCGTACAGGGATATGTGGAAAAGGCAGGGGATGTACAAAGGGAATAGAACCAAAGCGGGCACAATGGGCCGAATGGCTTCCTTCTGAGCTAAAACATTCTGTGTTATTCATTGTCATTCTGTGAAAAGAAAAATCTCCACATTAGAACATTGGAACATCAAAACCAAAGGAAGGTGGAATAAGTTATTTTACCACAATCCTCATTTTTTTAAGATCATGGCTGGTCTGATTGTAATGCCAACTTCCTGCCTGACCCCCATTACCCTTGACCATCTTGTCCATTAAACATCTGTCTAACTCAGCCAGGAAAACATTCAATCATCCAGCCTCCAGTTATTTCCGGGGTAGGGAATTACCAAGATTAACGGTACTCAGAAGCTCCTTCTCAACCCGAGCTTAAATGGGAGCCTCCTTAAATCTGGATCGGTGTCTCTGTATTCTAGACTTTCTTATCCATCCTGAAAAATTCTCTCAGCAGCTACATTATCATTTCCCCTCAGAATTAATATACATTGTTCTCTTTACTGGCTGGGCCAGCATTCATTGCCTATGCCTATGCCTATTTGCCCTGGAAGGTGACGGTGTGTAGGTACACACAGTGTTGTTTGGGAAGGAATTCCAGGATTTAGATGCAGTGACGGTAAAGGAAAGGTGAAAGGCTCATTAATGCTTTTTAGGGAAGAAAATCTGCCAGCATCACCTAGTCTCACCTACATGTGAATCCAGGCCCACAGCAAAGTTGCTGACTCTCAACTGCCCTCTGAAATGACCTAACAAGCCACTCAGATGTATCAATCGCCACATGTAGTCTCAATAGAGATGGATCACCAGACATCAATTTAGACACCAGAAAAGACAACGGCAGAAACAGCCCTGGAGAGCCTGCAATGACCTCCTTACTAATATCTGGATGCTAGTGCCAAAAAACGGGAGAGCAGTCTCACAGGCTGGTCAAGTAATAGCCTGACACAGTCATACTCACAGATTCATACCTTACAGATAATGTCTCAGACCCCATCATCACCATCCCTGGTGAAGTCCTGCCCTGATGGAATACTGAGATAACAAGGTGTAGAGCGGGATGAACACAGCAGGCCAAGCAGCATCAGAGGAGCAGGAAGGCTGATGTTTTGGGCCTAGACCCTTTTCTGAATTTTCTGAAGAAGGGTCTAGGCGCGAAACGTCAGCCTTCCTGCTCCTCTGATGCTGCCTGGCCTGCTGTGTTCATCCAACTCTACACCTTGTTATCTCAGATTCTCCAGCATCTGCAGTTCCTACTATCTCTGATGGAACACTGCCTACTTGCCTGGATAAGTGCAGCTCCAATACCACTCAAATAGCTTGACATGATCCAGGGCAAAGCAGCCTGTTTGTTTAGCATTACAGATTTTTATTAATTTCAAATTCCATTATCTGCCATGGCAAGCTTATTCTTAGAACATTTCTGAGAATTAAGAGTTGAATAATGGCAATGAAATCAATAGTCGATTGTCGGAAAAACCCATCTGGTTCATTAATATCCTTTAGGGAAGGGAATCTGCCGTCTTTACCTGGTCTGGCCTACATGTGACTCTAGACCCACAGCAATGTGGTTGACACATAACTGCTCTCTGGACAATTAACGATGGGCAATAAAGGCTGGCCTAGCCAGTGACTCCCACATCCCATGAAAGAATAAAAAGAGAATAAATTAAGTCCTGTCTGGCTTGTGGCATCCAACATTTTTGCACTATATCGTGTGCAGGGAGATATTCGTCCAGGTCATTGACCTCATCTTCAGAAAATTGCTCTTGCCTTCACAGTTGTTCAGCATTCACCACTTTCCCTCATTGTTCACTCCAGTCGAGCAAAGTATAACATACTTGAATTATGCAGCACGTGTGGTATAAAGCCTCCACACCTGTCCACACAACACAGCATCATTTTCAGCAGGGCTGTTGTCTGCTCCACCACAGGCCTTGTCATTATGAAACCATTTGAATATGGGAGCAGGGAAGTCTTACTGCAGTTGTACAAGGGCTTGGTGCAGCAACACTTTGGACGTTGCGTGCAGTTTTCATTCCCCTTAACTAAAAAAAATATAGTTGCCACTGAGCGAGCACACTGAAGGTTCACTAGACTGATTTGAGCAATAGCAGGTTTGTCATGTGAGGAGGGATTGA